ATCTATTCACGTATCCGTGGATTATTTCTGAGCGAGAAGTAACGTAGTTAATATTTTGTCATAGGGAGATAGTAATGAAAATCAAACGGCTCTCTCTGCCTTCTTCCTAAGCACCATATATTCCTTTTCGTCATATATAAAAATAAAGACACACATATATACATATGTATGTATATATATATATATATATATGTGTTAATATAAATACGTATATTAATCATATATATTAACATATATTAATATATGTATATTAATTGTAATATTTCTGTTCCGTCTCGATAGCCCGAGTCATTTCCAAACTTCTTTTGCACGTAGTCACAGGAGTCTATAAGATACGATTTGTTAAATCTCGCACCTGCGACCTTCCTCTTTCCAAGGTACGCATCGCACAGAGTCGTCTGTACGAATTTTAACGCGTAGCATGCAAAACGTGGCGTGGCCGCATAATCGCCGCGCATCTGAATTTACGCGCAATACATATATGTATATATGTGTGTGTGTATGTATACATATATACAACGACATATATATATATATGTATAATATATGTACACTATTTAATCGCGCGTCTTGTATTGCTGCACGCAGGAATTTATTTCCACTGACTTGCGCTACGCTGCGCTGGACGGATCGTTGAATGAATTCGCTTTGTTAATTTTATCGAACTCGCACGCTCTTATCCGCGCGTGTTTCGCGGGCTCTCTCTCTCTCTCTCTCTCTTCCTCTCTTTCTCATCGATCACTATCGATCGTCGAGCGCAAAGACGCAGGCGCATTCCGGAATGTTTAAATTTCATAGAATACGCGATGTATTGTATATCGCGCGATAATCTCCTCAAGGTGTATCCGTGGCTTGGGCTATCGCTATCTCGCGCGCATGTAATACTAAAGCGGGTTCCCGCGGAAAATAAACCAATGAAAATCAGCGCGACCGATTTTATAGGCAATATAAAAATATAAAATAAGCGTGATAAATCAACGCTATAACTGACAAATAATGCAAGAGTAAAAGATATGAAAGTACGATTCTTATTATTATCACGTCCTGTGATCGATAAACCTTTTTCCTAAACTTTCTACGAGATCGCCTGATACCTGCCTAACATCGAGGCTAAATGATCAAAAATATACGCGACGATGTTAAAGCATCGTTACTGACGTGTCAGTCTGTAACGCGGTCGTTCCGAGCGAGCGTCCGCTGCGCCTAAATAACGCGTCCGCTTGTCCGGAGTCTAATTTCGCAGATAACGCGCGAGCCGCCGCGAACGTAATCTAGTTACTAGGCGTACAATCTAATCGACCGATTCATATTATGTGTATGCATACCTGCACGTACAAACTACACTTCTATTCGTAGAATCGCACTAGCCCGCGCGATAACTAACCCGCGTGTCAGTTTGTCTTTAATGTTACGAAACTAAATCGTGCGATACGTTACGCAACTTCCTATTCTTGCATTAATTTGACTATTTATCATCGTCACTTTAACGTCTATATATGCGCATGGTAAGACTGTCGCTAACGACATTTTTGACGATTCTGCGAAATATGATTTACAATAAAAAGTGCTTCGATAGCGATAGAATGTATTTTAATATATACATAGAGAGTAATTGAATTTAATAATTCTTTTTACGCGAACTTAATTTTGAGATATTCCTTCTTTAAGAACAATTTGATCAGTCCAATCTTTTATCACAATTCTTAATTTTTTTTATTAGGAATTCTTTCTCCCTGTCTTTCTTTGTAATAATTCAAGAAATAAAAATTATTCATGTACATTCTACAGACAGACAGAAAGAACATATTTCGAAATATTCTCTTTTAAAAGTTTATCCCTTTCTTTTTAAGAAAATGTTTCTAGTATTATATTACATTATTTTCTATATTATTTCACGATTTCAATATTTTACGGAATTTTGTAAAACTACATTCGTATCTTCGAATCTCTTGAAGGGATCACAATTTGCATAGAATAGCGTTTGAAAGAAAGTATGAAAAAATAGAGCACAGTTATTTTACAGTGTCCGACAATTCTCGAAGCGGTGAATCGAAGGACTGAAGGAGCTAAGAAGAACGAGAATAACGGGTGAGATTCAGCGTCCGTTATGGTTCAAGGAGAACACACCGTTACCGGATACATCCCTTTTCTCTCGTGCAGGTGCTCCGAAGAAAATTAACTGGCCATCGCCGCTCTAATTGCCTCGGCGTATTAATGTTGCCGTGCAAATATGCAATCAGGCAAACTGCATTATAAATTAATAAGGGTTAGCGGTCGTTTTAATAATGAGTAGATCGAAAGATTTTCTGTTTTAATTACTCTAATAAAGCGCCGATATGTTCCAAGAATGAGACGTCTGAATTCGTAAAGACGCTATACGAGTTTAGCCATAAGAAATGCGATAATAGTAATGTAATTCCGATCACGTTTCTATCGGGATCGCTCGATAGCCGAAATAATAGACAGCGAATAGTAATATGCGTCGACAAAATACATTAAAATTAGAAAAGTTAGATAAGTCTGAGAATAACGACTAAGTTTATTTTGCGGAAACAATCGACTTTGAAGAAACTACTCAAACACATATTTACTCAAGAAGATTTTATATAAGTAAAAAAAAAATAGTAATACAGAAATAGAAATTCCAAACACAATAACAGCTTCGTAGAAGCTTCTTACGATCTCTTTTTCTAATCGGATTTTTTTACCAAATTCTCACAGTTCTCATAATCGAACATATATTGAGAGAACGAGAGAAAAAAAAAAGATATCGTTACGCGCACGCTGTCATATGTTCTATCATAAATCGCGCGTTGAATTGTTCATGCGAGCTAAAATTACCGAGCGCGAGCGTTCGCGCGATATCGCATGAATCGGACGAGTGACGAGGTATAGTCATGAGAACAATATAGTTTCTCGCGGTCAACGAAACATCGGTTAACAAAGGAGATTAGGTGGGCGCGAGTCGCAACCGTCGCAACTTTATCCGAGACCATCCTTGGGAGAATCCGCTTCTGTAGGAAGGCCACTGGACGAAAAGTTCTATCGCTACACGCCGCATGCGCGCGCACGCGTACGAGGCGCATACGCGTAGCTGGTGCACGCGGCGGCTAAATTTTTCAAGAACGTACGCATCATCATCGCTTCTTATTTTTTACCAGAGCCACTGCGGGCCCCCTTCTCTTCTTTCTTCCCCTCCCTAGTTCGTATAGTCCTGTTCGCGATTTTCCTTCGTCTCTCTCTCTCTCGACTCTCTCCCCCTCTCTTTTTTTCTTCGGCGGTGTATACTCGCGAAATCTATTTATACCTAGGTCCTCTGGTGTTTTCAACTTGCTGCACGGCCGTGCAACAAGCTCAACCTGCGGTCTCTCGTAAAAATAGGAAACAGGCGGGCCGAGAAAGGAGCGTTTCGATTTGAAGAAACTCTCACGCGGTCGCAGGTGCGTGCGAAATATCATCTGCGAATAGCGATTGTCCGCCTCTTAATATTTATACCGCGTGCTTAACATTTGCGACACGTGGCCTCTCCTAACTCTCGTGCATCGTAAACGTATAAATAAAAGAGAGAGAAAACACACACACACACATATATATATATATATATACACGTGTGTATACATAAGTATATAACTATATGTATATACACATATTTATACAACGTACATGCGAAACGCGGGACACCGTGCGTAAACCAACGGGTGCTGAAATCCTGCGTCCCAAAAAATACGTAATCGCTTGCGGTTAGCGAACAAAAAAAATAAAAATAAAATAACTCCCTCTCTCTCTCTCTCCTCTCTCTTCTTGCGCGCGCGCACATAGCGCGGTAACGTGACGAAATCGGGCATGTAAAAAAAAAAGCCAAAAAAAATTTAAAAAAAAGGAAACGAGGAAAAAACGATTACTCCCACGCGGCGGGAGCCCCGCGCGCCAGACGAGGTGTGGTGCGGCGTGGAAAACGAGAGTGAACGCGTAGAGTCGAGCGCGTACGCGCGGCGTGGCACGGCGTGGCGCGGTGCGGTGCGGTGTGGTACGGTACGGCGCGGCGCGGCGCGACGGCGACCGTGGCACGGTCGCGGCACGGCCCCGGAGCGACGCACGACAAACGAGGATCGAGAGCGCCTCTCGCGGCGCGGAAAGAGCGAGAGCGAGCGAGCGCGATGGATTACGTCATGTGCCAGGCACTCTCTAACGTCTGGCATTATCTTCGTCTAGTGCGAGTCTAGCCGCGCCAGTCCAAACGGTACTAACGCCGCGCTACCGCCAACACTGCCGCTGCTGTTGCCGCCGCCGCCGCCGCCACAATCGCCGTCAGTCACCTTCGCCGTCTGGCATACATAGGCAAGGGCATACGAGACACGTCATCGTATGTGGATTCATGAAAGGACACACGCGCGTATTCTAGCGCTAACTAGGTGTTCAACGACACGCATATATATACGTGTCGGAGCCAACGGACACACGCATACACGCGTCGCGTATACTCTCGGCGCTCGTGTGTTGGTGCATGTGCACGCACCGCACGCACACCTACATATATATTTTGCATGCACGCGTTACCGCTATATGACTCGCGCGACAGATACATGCAAACACCCGTCCCTTTCTTTCTTTCTTTCTTTCTTTCTCTCTTTCTTTCTCTCCCTCGTCTTCTCTCTTTTTCTTTCGCACTCTTTTTCGCTTTCGCGCCCCCCCCCCTCCCTCCCCCCCTTCCCCGTTAATCGCGCCTTCTTCCTCTTCCCCTTGCCGGATTTTCTCCGTCTATCCTCTTATCCCCTGCCTCCCGTCCGCCCCCCTTTAAGTACCCCCTCCCGAATTTTTTACTCTTTCTCTCTTATTAAGCGAGCCTCCCTCCTCCTTCTACGCTTTCGTCTCGCTTCTACTCCATTCCCCTCCCTCCTCTCTGTCTTCCCTAAACTTCTTCCTCTGTCTCTAGCGCAACCGCGTACACCGTGGAAGCCGTACAGGCAGCCGAAGGCCACCGGTCTCAGCTGTGGACGTACCTTGATCGTCAAACGAGAAGTGAAGTGTTGGACCTCCTTTGCCCGGCGTCCTTGTCGTCGCTGCTAAGCCCCGTGATTCTATCGTTCTAACACGACGAAGATGACGGATCGGACGTTGGGCGGGGAGGAGGAACGTCTTTCCTCCAACTTCCGCCGATTTCTTCCAGCCGTGCAGAAATGTCGCCGAGTAGAGACAGATGCGCTTGTGTCTCTCGTTTTTTTTTCTCTCTCTCTTGTTTCTTTCCTTCCGACCAGCTTTCCTTCACCAATTTTCACAAATCCGCTGCCTGCTGATTATCGTACGTCTCTACGACGTCTCGATTGGAAGAATCTCTGATGGACGAACGGATCGCTAACGATTGTATGACGACGTACGAGACAATCGCATGTTCCACTGTCGAGCCTCGTTAATCGATGGATCCTAATTTTCTCCGATTTTTCACACTCGCCTCACAAACATCACCCTTGGATCGTCAAAGACAATCTCGAAGACACGTGGATACCGCGTAACGAAAAAAAATCTTCCTCGCACGCTATCTTCTCATTCTTCTTCCCCGCGACTCTCTCTCAAATTGACGTGGCGCACTTTCCCTCTCGCGCTCTTCTTGCGTTCCCGATCACGATCCTCTTCAGATCCACGGAGGTACGTCGATCACTTGGGATAAGCGCGGAGATACGATCCCCAGGGAACACACGAGTCGGTTGAGGAAAACGTTAGACGAGATTTAGTAGCGCATGTACCATAGATAGCATCACTCACACCGTGACCGAGGACCGTTTTCTCTCTCCTCAAGGAAATCGTCTCCCTTTCCCTCTTCTTCGCGTGTAGAACGCGCGTAACTGGATCACCGTAACGCGTACTCGCGATCCCGTCGATACACGCATGGGCGCGCACTGTTTTTCCGCCTTGTCCCTCGTGATATCGATGTAACTGAAGAACTCACACTTCTTCTTCTTCTCTCTCTCTGTTTTTCTCGATATGCCGGGGGTTAACTTATTCTTCCAAAACTTCCAAACTACACGACGATCCTCGTCGATCGAAAACGGCGAGAAGGAACGTGATGGCGAAGAGTGAGAAAAGGGGGAAGAAACACGAGGGATTTGGCGAAGGAAGAAAATTTAATTAACACCTTCTAATACGTAACACGTGCCGCAGAATTATTGGAACGATACGCGACAGAGAGAGAGAGAGAGAGAAAGAGAAAAACAGAGAAAGAGAAAAAGAGGAGAGAGAGAGAGAGAGAGGGAGAGAGAGCGCGCAAACGATGACAATTGTCGGTGTTAGAATGTCCTGCGTGTATTATCTTGCGCGCCGGTTGAACGTCGAGGATCGAAGGACCCAGCTGCTCTCCTCGCCGCTTCTTTGGGACACACACCGGGGGACTACCTAGTCGTAGAGTGATTGGGAACGCGACTGGCCAAAGCACTTGATTCGCGCGCGGTTCGGTTTGCCCGTTGCTGCGCCTCTCCCGTGCAGTTTTTTCGGCAGTCCTGTGGTATGCGTGCGCGCGCGGCGTGCATGTGTGCGTGCCGAGTGCCCGCGCGCGTGTACGCTCCTCTCTTTCTCTCTCTCTTTTCTCTCTCTCTCTCTCTCTCTCTCTCTCTTTCTGTGTTCCTCCTCTTTTTCTCTTTCTATCTACACGAAGAGCTCTTTTTCGTTCTCCTTCCCTCCGCGCCGTTCTTCCTATCCCTCTCTCACTTCCCTCGTTTTTAACACGAGAGTGTGCCGCCCGCTTGCACCCGCGTGTACGTGTGTGTACGTGTGTGTGTGCGCGGGCCCTCACGTGTGCGTGCGTGCGTGCGTGGCCCCCGTGATGTACACCGAAGAGTGGCCCTGCGCGCGAAAAAGAGAGAGGGTTGAGCGTGCGAGAATGAGCGAGTGTACATACGGCCGTCTGTCTATATGCGTACGTAAGTATATGTATATATACGTCCGTCCGATCCGCCTTGTCGTTGTGTCGTACGCTGCATGCATGCATGCGTGCGTGCGTGCGTGCATGCGTGAGTGCGTGCGTGCGTGCGTGCGCGTCCCGGGTAGGCGAGGGTATAGTTACCGAAATGTTAACCTCGTGGAACCACTTTTTATTGAGTGTCGCAAAATTCATAGGAACCTCGCGACGTGAGGAGAGGGGGTTTAACCCGGCCCCCGCTCCTCCCGACCACGCTAGCGGGGCTGACGCCGCGGAGGGGCGACAACCCCTACCCTCCGTGCCGTACGGGGTCCCCCGCGGCACCCCTCCGCGTACCACGAGCCGTCCTCCTCCCCCCCTCCTCCTCCTCCTCCTCCTCCTCCTCCTCCTCCTCTTCCTCCTTCTCCTGCTCCGTCACTTCCTCCTCCTCGTTCTCCTGATCCGCGTCCTCATCCGCGTCCTCATCTTCGTCCTCCTCCCCTCGGTCGCTCGCTCGCTCGCTCGACTCGAGGCCCTGGTCCTCGCCAATTCTTCGGCCCCCCACCATTTCCTCGCTAGTGGCCCCCAACCCCTGGTTTAGTTCTTTTCCCCCCTTGCCCTGGCACCCTTGGTCTCGACCGTGCACCGCGCTTCGGCTGTTCCCCCTTGCTCGTCTCACGAGTCTCATCCATGCCGACCAATCGCCCTCCTTCCTTTCCTCTTTCCTACTCGCCAACGTTGGCCCATCCGCTTATTCCACACTCTCTCTCTCTCTCTCGCTTCTCTACTTCTTTCTGTTCTTTTCTTCGCTTGACGCTCTTCTCTCTTTCCTTCTTTTCTCCTTCCCTCGCTATATCTCTTCTTTTTTATTCCGCTACAACTCGTCTTCTCTCTTTCTCTCTTCTCTTCTTTTATCCACCCTTCCTTCACTTCCACCTCTTCCGATCCGCGCTTCTTTCTTTCTCTCCTTTCTTCCTCTTTCTCCCTCGCTTTCTCCTTATTTCTTTCTTCCCCTTTCGGCCGCCTTCTTTCCATCGCTCCTCTCCCGTTCTTCTCGTCTCGTCTCATCTCATCTCATCTCTGCCGTCAGCCTCCGAAACGAAACGAACGAGTCTCGTCTCTTCCCTCTGCCTCTCTCTCCGCCTCCCCGTTTCTCTCGCTCTAGCGCAAGCCAACTATCTTCTTGCGCTGGTGTTTGACACCGCCAGCATCATGCCTTGCCCCCACCTGTCAGCTCTGTTACCACCCTGCAGCGTCCGGTATTTAGCCTTTACATAGCCAAACTTAAAAACGTAGCTTTAGCTGTACATAGTACGACCGATCTTCTTTTATGCACGACCCTACACGTAACATTTTGCATCATCGTCTATCGTTTAACTCTTTCGTGACCAGCGAGACATATGTGTCCCATTAAGAATTTCTCTCGATATAAGTTGATGGGACGCCCTCGTTCCACCCATAATCTCCATGCTGATATCTCACTTATATGGCGCAAAAAAAATTAATTTAGTCATGAAAGCGTTAATATCGGGAGAATACCTTTCTATCTCTCGCTAGCACTCTAGAGCGTAATCGGTAATGATATTTATTCTGCCATTAATTCGATTCCTTTTGCAAATCAGCAAATTATTAGTCGCATTAATCTATATGCAAATATGTTTTTAATGTTACTTGTAATTCTAGATGCATCTGTGTCAATACGCTGCAAGGTGTTTCCTTTTGACAATTGTATCTGAATGTAATCTTTAGATTAGAGCGATAAACGGCAAATGCAGATTGTCGTCCTTCAATCGTTTAATCGAGCAGACCGCGATCGACGTTCGCTAGCTGTTCATTGAGATAACGAGCTCAAGGACTTGGCAATACTCTGCAGGTTCTCGTCAAACATCAGTAAGCAATGGTTTTAGGGTATCTGTCTATATAATGCTACGAACGCTTGGAAATGTTTAGATCACGATAACTTAACTCATCTATCTATTTTACATTACTAATACAATCTTAGCCAAAAATGTTCAGTATCTTATTAACTATCTAAAGTTTTAACTCAAAGATTGATTTATAGCATTTGCTGTAAAATATATCCTTTGTTTTAAGAACACTTCAAACTTATGTATAATATAATACCGGCGTTGTTATCAACAAGTAATGATGCAGATAAAAGAATTATAGATAAATGAAAAATAAATAGTACCTAATATTTTTAGCCACATCGTAAATTTTCCTTCACTTCTCTTTAATTGAAGAGACGAAACAGTGTACGGAGCAATTAATTACAATCGGAAATTCTCTCTTATTGTTTTTGCATTGGGTGAATACCTATTTGAAGATAACATTTTTGGGTATTTTGACGTTCGCTTTGCTAAGAATTTGTAAGAATATCTAGCTCAATGGTTAAAAAAATCCGTTTTATTTTATGCAATGTGCCATATGATCTCGTAAAACAAAAAATTTCATGTATAAAAGACTGTAAATAGAATCGGTTTGAATAAATAATGACTCAAAGCAATAATAATGTTAAGCTAACGATAAACTAGCAGTTGACGGTTTAATACAGTTTGAGAGTCCGTAATATATTCATAATAAAGAAAGAGGGAAAGAGATGTCTTAACCATCAATTAGATTCGTGGGTATAGGCTTATCGCGATATATTGTCGAATCCAACGAGATGGTCAATTAAGAGCGAATGAACGGGAATTCGCAAATGCGTGATAGTAATCAACCTGGTCCCGGTCTCCGGATTTCCACGCGATATAATCCACACTGTAAACGAGACATGTGAGACGATCGTGACACTTACAGCCTAAAATTCTGCGCTTATGCCAAACAATTGAGGCGGCGTGAACAAACTACCGTTACTCTTTCGCGCAAGCGGAAGCCCATAAACGAAAACAGATTATTGTGGGGCGCATGAAAGCACAGCAGAAACCATTCGGCAAAGAGCTACGCGATAATTATATTGTAATCGCTCGTTTTGTGTATTTCATTACGTAAAATGATTCTGACGGATGGATAAAGTACTTAAGGATGATTCACAATACTAATATAAATGTATACAAGAAATATCAATCGGTGTTTGATTGAAGAATGCCAAATATTAATCAATTAATAGAAATAATCCTATTTTCAGTCAAAGTGGATCTTAATACTGAAAACACTAACATTTGCTTGATCGAAAATACGATTTTATTTCTATTAATTGATTTATTCTCGTCTAATTTCGATTATATTATAATTGCCAAATATTAAGTAATATTTTAAACAAGTGATGTAAAATAATGTTTATGTTATAAATATGAAAAGTTGAAAAATGTCCCTATTATAGACACAAAAATGTCTTTAAAGTTTTATGCAGTTGATAATCTAGTATTCACACACACAAGAATTAATATATACTGTACAGCGTTGCGCTGTTTAGTAATGCAAATGTGTCTATTGCAACCTGTTATAATCCTTATGATTTATTTTTGGCAATAATTATGAAAAATTTAACACGCAATATTGCTTCAAAAATTATTAATGTGTTTGAAAAAAAATTTTAAATCAAGAAATATCAAAAAAAAAATGTGTGGTTGAAAATAGAAAAACAAGAATTCTAGTAGATTCTATACCAGAAATATTGTATCTCAACCAGAATTCCGATTATTTTAATTAAAATTTATATAACCAGAAAATTCTGATTCGTCCATTTTCCGCCAGAATTACTATTTAATCCAACCAAAAACCATTTTTCTCAGTGTAAATATCAACAACGAAATTTTTTACTATTAAACGTTTACAGTAGAAAATACTTTGATCAGATAAGTTAAGAAAGAGAAAGAATGTTTGTACGATATATTATTGCGAATATACAACGATTCCAATACGAATACGAAAAATATGATATATGGTCCTCTTACATAAGATAGTCAAACATTCAAGGAAGTAGTACTAAAAATTATCGATGTAGGTGTGAACGATTATCGATTCACCTTGCTCGCATAAAGCCACGATGAGAGAAGAGCTCATCGCGCGTGATGCAAGCACCATTATATCGAGTACCGCTCGCCTGGTGTACACTTTGTTACGCAATATCTCGAATCTGTAGGAATTCGCAGCCGTCGTCTTATTGTCTCCTTCCCTCCCTCTCTTTCTCTCTCTTTTTCTTCCGAGACAGGCGTGACTTGTTGCAAACGCCTGGCTTTCTTGACGTCTGGAAAAGGTGAATCGAACCGGATCCACAAGCGACTGCTCGAGAACATTTGATTTGCTGCGTTTTGTATCGCTGGCATGCGAAATTTCGTTCGGCGATTTAAAATGTAAAATGGCTGCTTTATACGCGTCATCATTGTCACCGTCATTATTATCCTGCTGAGGTACATACCGGTGCTCTGCACGTGCAACCTTTGAGAGTCGTTAATCTCTGAGAGACGTTCAGTAACATCGCGATACTATTAATCGCGCCATCTCTGACACACATCGCAGAATATTTGCGTTCTGATTAACGTGAGAGATAAGATTAT